ACAGCGCAGGAGGGGAAGGCCCTCTATGAGGTGGATTGATTCAGTGACTGGGGTAATCGGGATGGGTGTGTCAGAGGCAATGAGACTGGCACAGGATAGAGCAGGGTTTAGGGCTGTTGTACATAGGGTTGCTATGAGTCGCAAACGACTCAATGGCACATAACAACAACAACAACAAACAACACTTCCGGTACCTACAACTCCCTCTTCCTGCTGCTCCCTCTCCCTCCAGGCCTCTTTGACCTCCATAAGATAGCCTCTTAGCATTTTTATCTTCACTGATTTCTTTTCTGACCAATCAGTTGAAAGGATTTTAATTTTCTACATTCTTCTGGCTTTTATTTTTTATGTATGTGTTTATTACTTTTTGTTGTTGAAATCTGTAAGATCTAGACTAGAAGAGATGTTCAATAAATACTTTTATTGATAAATGTAAGTGTAATTTAAAACATTGCTCCTTTGAGGCCCATTTGTCAAGTATCATTATCAGTAAATTAATAATAGTAATGATAGCTGAAATCTATTGAGTGGCTATTATATACCAGGTACTATCTTTAAAAAAGAAAATGGAGCTGTAGTGGTGTAGTCTGTAGGGTGATGTGCCACTAACCCAAAGACTACACTTCGGGCAGCTCCAATCTACCAGCAGCTCGGAGAGGGAAAAGTGGGCTGTCTCCTTCCATGCAATATACTGCTTCCTGAAAACCCACGGGAGGGCAAGCTATCAGTCAACTCTGATCTGATAGCAATTAACTGACTCAGTTCTAAGTATATAGATGTACACACATATACACACAGACATACACTCGGGGAAAAAGTGAATCTATCATTTAATCGACTAGCAACCCTAACAAGGAGTTATTATTTATTATTACCTCCAGTCTGTACAAGAAGAAGCTAAAGAATGAAAATGCTATTTGCCCAACACTACACAGCTAAGAAATATTACAGGTAGGGCTCAAACTAGGTAGACTAATCCCAGAGCTTCCATGTTTGGCTACTTAATATCGTCTTCATAAAATTATTATTGAGGAGCTCTGGTGGCCTAGTCTATAGGAAAATTATTAAAAGATAAACATGTATTATAAAAATATTATAAAGCAATGCCAATAAGGATAAGCGGCATGAATTCAACATCTACTATGTACCAGGCACTCGGGTTTTTTTACTGAGGTTAATTTAATCCTCACAACAACAGCCTGATGAGGTAGCTGTTGTTATATTCATCTTGTTGTTGTTAAGAGGCGTCGAGTTGCAGGTGGTTCATAGAGACCCTACGAAGGAGAGTCCTCGATGCTTGGGTGCCTTTCATCCTCTCTCCAGGTTTATAAGGTTTCCAGAGGCAAGCTATTATGGAAGTGGATGCTACTCCTTCTTCCAATATTCATCTTACAGATAAAGAAATAGGGTCAATAATGTGTTAAATTTATGGCCTGGGATCAAACAGCAAATAAGTGATAAGCCACAGTTCTAACCCAGATATGATGGCAAATGGATATATATGTTCTACTCTTGATCTTAGCCAAAAGGCCAAGAAGTGACAAATGTATGCATATGTTTTAATAAAGAATTAAATTCTCCCCATGCTTCATAAACCATGGACTCGGGGACTCCTGTTGATTCTGGGAAAACGTTTCCTATTTGCATTTTCCTCAACTCTTCTGTTCATTCACCAAATGCTTACAGATCACCTAATAGATGCTGCTGTGTGTCTGACTACGTAAGACCTGGTGGGGTAGAGAGCTACATTTTGGGATGCTAACTGAGCTGGTGTAGAAAGTTCAGGAATTTAGATTCACCAGCGTCTCCTTGGAAGAAAGATGAAGCAGTCTCATTCCACAGAGTTAGTCTCAAAAATGCAACAGAGAGCTTTCTACGAAGATGGCGCTGAAAGCCAAGAAGGAAGCCCCTGCCCCTCCCAAAACTGAAGCCAAAGCAAAGGCATTAAAGGCCAAGAAGGTAGTCCTGAAGGGCGTCCACAGCCAAAAAAAAAAAAAGAACATCCGCACGTCACTCACCTTCCGGCGGCGAAGACGCTGAGACTCCGACGGCAGCCCAAATACCCCCGGAAGAGCGCCCCCAGGAGAAACAAGCTTGACCACTATGCCATCATCAAAT